ACCACACACAGGATGGGTGTTAAGGTGATAGCACCCGCAGGATGGGTGTTAAGGTGACTACCACCCACAGGATGGGTGTTAAGGGGACTACCACCCACAGGATGGGTGTTAAGGTGACTACCACCCACAGGATGGGTGTTAAGGTGACTACCACACACAGGATGGGTGTTAAGGTGACTAGCACCCAGAGGATGGGTGTTAACGTGACTACCACACACAGGATGGGTGTTAAGGTGAGTACCACCCAGAGGATGGGTGTTAAGGTGACTATCACCCAGAGGATGGGTGTTAAGGTGACTACCACCCACAGGATGGGTGTTAAGGTGACTATCACACACAGGATGGGTGTTAAGGTGACTACCACCCACAGGATGGGTGTTAAGGTGACTACCACCCACAGGATGGGTCGTTAAGGTGACTACAACCCACGGGAAAGGGTGTTAAGGTGACTACCACCCAAAAGGATGGGTGTTAAGGTGACTACCACCCACAGGATGGGCGTTAAGGTGACTACCACCCACAGGATGGGTGTTAAGGTGACTACCACTTAGAGGATGGGTGTTAAGTTGACTACCGCCCACAGGATGGGTGTTAAGGTGACAACCACCCACAAGATGGGTGTTAAGGTGACTACCACCCACAGAATGGGTGTTAAGGTGACTACCACATACAGGATGGGTGTTAAGGTGACTACCACATACAGGATGGGTGTTAAGGTGAATACATCCCAAAGGATGGGTGTTAAGGTGACTACCACCCACGGGATGGGTGTTAAAGTGACTACTACCCACAGGATGGGTGTTAAGGTGACTACTACCCACAGGATGGGTGTTAAGGTGACTACCACCCACAGGATGGGTGTTAAAGTGACTACTACCCACAGGATGGGTGTTAAGGTGACTACTACCCACAGGATGGGTGTTAAGGTGACTACTACCCACGGGATGGGTGTTAAGGTGACTACCACCCACAGGATGGGTGTTAAAGTGACTACAACCCACAGGATGGGTGTTAAGGTGACTACCACCCACAGGATGGGTATTAAGGTGACTACCACCCACAGGATGGGTGTTAAGTTGACTACCACCCACAGGATGGGTGTTAAGGTGACTACCACCCACAGGATGGGTGTTAAGGTGACTACCACCCACAGGATGGGTGTTAAGGTGACTACCACCCAGAAGATGGGTGTTAAGGTGACTACCACCAACAGGATGGGTGATAAGGTGACTACCACCCAGAGGATGGGTGTTAAATTGACTACCGCCCATAGGAAGGGTGTTAAGTTGACTATCACCCACAGGATGGGTGTTAAGTTGACTACCACCCACAGGATGGGTGTTAAGGTGACTACCAAACAGAGGATGGGTGTTAAGTTGACTACCACCCACAGGATGGGTGTTAAGGTGACTACAAACCAGGATGGGTGTTAAGGTTGACTACCACCCACAGGATGGGTGTTAAGTTGACTACCGCCCACAGGATGGGTGTTAAGTTGACTGCCGCCCACATGATGGGTGTTAAGGTGACTACCACCCACAGGATGGGTGTTAAGGTGACTACCACCCACAGGATGGGTGTTAAGTTGACTACCACCCACAGGATGGGTGTTAAGGTGACTACCACCCACAGGATGGGTGTTAAGTTGACTACCACCCACAGGATGGGTGTTAAGTTGACTACCACCCACAGGATGGGTGTTAAGTTGACTTCCACCCACAGGATGGGTGTTAAGGTGACTACAACCCACAGGTTGGGTGTTAAGGTGACTGCCACCCACAGGATGGGTGTTAAGTTGACTACCACCCACAGGATGGTTGTTAAGGTGAGTACCGCCCACAGGATGGGTGTTAAGGTGACTACCGCCCACAGGATGGGTGTTAAGGTGACTATCACCCACAGGATGGGTGTTAAGGTGACTACCGCCCACAGGATGGGTGTTAAGGTGACTACCACCCACAGGATGGGTGTTAAGGTGACTACGGCCCACAGGATGGGTGTTAAGGTGACTACCACCCACAGGATGGGTGTTAAGGTGACTACCGCCCACAGGATGGGTGTTAAGGTGACTACCACCTACAGGATGGGTGTTAAGGTGACTACCGCCCACAGGATGGGTGTTAAGTTGACTACCGCCCACTGGATGGGTGTTAAGATGACTACCACCTACAGGATGGGTGTTAAGGTGACTACCACCCAGAGGATGGGTGTTAAGTTGACTACCGCCCACAGGATGGGTGTTAAGTTGACTGCCGCCCACATGATGGGTGTTAAGGTGACTACCACCCACAGGATGGGTGTTAAGTTGACTACCACCCACAGGATGGGTGTTAAGTTGACTACCACCCACAGGATGGGTGTTAAGTTGACTTCCACCAACAGGATGGGTGTTAAGGTGACTACAACCCACAGGTTGGGTGTTAAGGTGACTGCCACCCACAGGATGGGTGTTAAGTTGACTACCACCCACAGGATGGGTGTTAAGGTGACTACCGCCCACAGGATGGGTGTTAAGGTGACTACCGCCCACAGGATGGGTGTTAAGGTGACTATCACCCACAGGATGGGTGTTAAGGTGACTACCGCCCACAGGGTGGGTGTTAAGGTGACTACCACCCACAGGATGGGTGTTAAGGTGACTACCGCCCACAGCATGGGTGTTAAGGTGACTACCACCTACAGGATGGGTGTTAAGGTGACTACCGCCCACAGGATGGGTGTTAAGTTGACTACCGCCCACTGGATGGGTGTTAAGGTGACTACCACCTACAGGATGGGTGTTAAGGTGACTACCACCCACAGGATGGGTGTTAAGTTGACTACCGCCCACAGGATGGGTGTTAAGTTGACTACCGCCCACAGGATGGGTGTTAAGTTGACTACCGCCCACAGGATGGGTGTTAAGTTGACTACCGCCCACAGGATGGGTGTTAAGTTGACTACCGCCTACAGGATGGGTGTTAAGTTGACTACCGCCCACAGGATGGGCATAAGTACGTTATAAAGTTATCGAATTAACACCTTAGAAAGACTACTTTGTAGCTGGATGTCAAAGTCGCAACTCTTCCTCTCTGTGTCTCAACTCTTCCTCTCTGTGTCTCAACTCTTCCTCTCTGTGTCTCAACTCTTCCTCTCTGTGTCTCAACCCTTCCTGTCTGTGTCTCAACTCTTCCTCTCTGTGTCTCAACTCTTCCTCTCTGTGTTTCAACTCTTCCTCTCTGTGTCTCAACTCTTCCTCTCTGTGTCTCAACTCTTCCTCTCTGTGTCTCAACTCTTCCTCTCTGTCTCAACTCTTCCTCTCCTGTCTCAACTCTTCCTCTCTCTGTCTAAAACTCTTCCTCTCTTTCTCAACTCTTCCCCTCTCTGTCTCAACTCTTCCTCTCGCTGTCTCAACACTTCCTCTCTGTGTCCCATCTCTTCCTCTCTGTGTCTCAACTCTTCCTCTCTGTGTCTCAACTCTTCCTCTCTGTCTCAACTCTTCCTCTCCTCTGTCTCACTCTTCCTCTCTCTTTCTCAACTCTTCCTCTCTCTGTCTCAACTCTTCCTCTCTCTGTCTCAACTCTTCCTCTCTCTGTCTCAACTCTTCCTCTCTGTGTCTCAACTCTTCCTCTCTGTGTCTCAACTCTTCCTCTCTGTGTCTCAACTCTTTCTCTCTGTGTTTCAACTCTTCTTCTCTCTGCCTCAACTATTCTTCTCTCTGTCTCAGCTCTTCCTCTCTCTGTCTCAACTCTTCCTCTCTCTGTCTCAACTCTTCCTCTCTCTGTCTCAACTCTTCCTCACTCTTTTTTCAACTCTTCCTCTCTCTCTCTCTCTCTGTCTCAATTCTTCCTCTCTCTGCCTCAGCTCTTCCCCTCTCTGTCTCACTCTTCCTCTCGGTCTCAACTTTTCCACTCTCTGTCTCAACTCTTCCTCTCTCTGTCTCAACTCTTTCTCTCTCTGTTTCAACTCTTCCTTTCTGTGTCGCAACTCTTCCTCTCTCTCTGTTTCAACTCTTCCTCTCTCTATCTCAACTCTTTCTCTCTCTGTTTCAACTCTTCCTCTCTCTGTCGCAACTCTTCCTCTCTCTGTCTCAACTCTTCCTCTCTCTGTCTCAACTCTTTCTCTCTCTGTTTCAACTCTTCCTTTCTGTGTCGCAACTCTTCCTCTCTCTCTGTTTCAACTCTTCCTCTCTCTATCTCAACCTTTTCTCTCTCTGTTTCAACTCTTCCTCTCTCTGTCGCAACTCTTCCTTCCTCTCTGGTTCAACTCTTCCTCTCTCTGTCTCAACTCTTCCTCTCTCTCCTGTTTCAACTCTTCCTCTCTCTGTCTCAACTCATCTTCTCTCTGTCTCAACTCTTCCTCTTTCTGTTTCAACTCTTCCTCTCTCTGTCGCAAACTCTTCCTCTCTCTGTTTCAACTCTTTCCTTTCTTTCGCAACTCTTCCTCTCTGTGTTTCAACTCTTCCTCTCACTGTCTCAACTCTTCCTCTCTCTGTTTCAACTATTCCTCTCTCTGTCTCAGCTCTTCCTCTCTCTGTCTCAACTCTTCCTCTCTCTGTCTCAACTCTTTCTCTCTCTGTTTCTAACTCTTCCTTTCTGTGTCTCAACTCTTCCTATCTCTGTCTCAACTCTTCCTCTCTCTGTCTCAACTCTTCCTCTCTCTGTTTCAACTCTTCCTCTCTCTGTCTCAACTCTTCCTCTCTCTGTTTCAACTCTTCTCTCTCTCTTCCGCAACTCTTCCTATCTGTGTTTCAACTCTTCTTCTCTCGTCTCAACTCTTCCTCTCTCTGTCGCATCTTTTCCTCTCTCTGTCGCAACTCTTCCTCTCTCTGTCACAACTCTTCCTCTCTCTGTCTCAACACTTCCTCTCTCTGTCTCAACTTTTCATCTCTCTGTTTCAGTCTCTCCTCTCTCTGTCTCAACTCTTTCTCTCTCTGTTTTCAACTCTTCCTCTCTCTGTTTCAACTCTTCCTCTCTCTGTCTCAACTCTTCCTCTCTCTGTCTCAACTCTTCCTCTCTCTGTCTCAACTCTTCCTCTCTCTGTCTCAACTTTTCTTCTCTCTGTTTCGATTCTTCCTCTCTCTGTCTCACTCTTTCTCTCTCTGTTTCCACTCTTCCTCTCTCTGTCGCAACTCTTCCTCTCTCGTTGTTTTCAACTCTTCCTCTCTCTGTCTCAACTCTTCCTCTCTCTGTTTCAACTCTTCCTCACTCTGTCTCAACTCTTCCTCTCTCTGTCTCAACTCTTCCTCTCTCTGTTTCAACTCTTCCTCTCTCTGTCTCAACTCTTCCTTTCTCTGTCTCAACTCTTCCTCTCTCTGTTTCAACTCTTCCCTCTCTCTGTTCCAACTCTTTCTATCTGTGTCTCAACTTCCTCTCTCTGTCTCATCTCTTCCTCTCTCTGTCTCAACTCTTCCTCTCTCTGTCGCAACTCTTCCTCTCTCTGTCTCATCTCTTCCTCTCTCTGTCTCATCTCTTCCTCTCTCTGTCTCAACTCTTCTTCTCTCTGTCGCAACTCTTCCTCTCTCTGTCTCAACTCTTCCTTTCTCTGTCTTAACTCTTCCTCTCTCTGTTTCACCTCTTCCTCTCTCTGTTTCAACTCTTCCTCTCTCTGTCTCAACTCTTCCTTTCTCTGTCTCAACTCTTCCTCTCTCTGTTTCAACTCTTCCTCTCTCTGTTCCCCTCTTTCTATCTCTGTCTCAACTCTTCCTCCTCTGTCTCAACTCTTCCTCTCTCTGTCGCAACTTTTTTTCTCTCTGTTTCATCTCTTCCTCTCTCTGTCTCAACTTTTCCTCTCTCTGTTTCAGCTCTTCCTCTCTCTGTCGCAACTCTTCCTCTCTCTGTTTCAACTCTTCCTCTCTCTGTCTCAACTCTTCCTTTCTCTCTGTTTCAACTCTTTCTCTCTCTGTCTCAACTCTTCCTCTCTCTGTCTCAACTCTTCTTCTCTCTCTTTCAACTCTTCCTCTCTCTTGTCAACACTTCCTCTATCTGTCTCAACTCTTCCTCTCTCTGTCTCAACTCTTCTTCTCTCTGTTTCAACACTTCCTCTCTCTGTCTCAACTCTTCTTCTCTCTGTTTCAACTCTTCCTCTCTCTCTGTTTCATCTCTTCCTCTCTCTGTCTCAACTTTTCCTCTCTCTGTTTCAACTCTTCCTCTCTCTGTCGAAACTCTTCCTCTCTCTGTTTCAACTCTTCCTCTCTCTGTCTCAACTCTTCCTTTCTCTCTGTTTCAACTCTTTCTCTCTCTGTCTCAACTCTTCCTCTCTCTGTCTCAACTCTTCTTCTCTCTGTTTCAACTCTTCCTCTCTCTGTCTCAACACTTCCTCTATCTGTCTCAACTCTTCCCTCTATCTGTCTCAACTCTTCCTCTCTCTCTCTCAACTCTTCCTCTCTGTCTCAACTCTTCCCTCTCTGTTCAAACTCTTCCTCTCTCTTTCGCATCTCTTCCTCTCTGTGTTTCAACTCTTCTTTCTCTGTCTCAACTCTTCCTCTCTCTGTTTCAACTCTTTCTCTCTTTTTTCGCAACTCTTCCTCTCTGTGCTTCAACTCTTCTTCTGTGTGTCTCAACTCTTCCTCTCTGTGTCGCAACTCTTCCTCTCTCTGTCTCAATTCTTCCTCTCACTGTCTCAACTCTTCCTCTCTCTGTTTCAACTCTTCCTCTCTCTGTCTCAACTCTTCCTCTATCTGTCTCAACTCTTCCTCTCTCTGTCTCAACTCTTCTTCTCTCTGTTTCAACACTTCCTCTCTCTGTCTCAACTCTTCTTCTCTCTGTTTCAACTCTTCCTCTCTCTCTGTTTCATCTCTTCCTCTCTCTGTCTCAACTTTTCCTCTCTCTGTTTCAACTCTTCCTCTCTCTGTCGCAACTCTTGCTCTCTCTGTTTCAACTCTTCCTCTCTCTGTCCTCAACTCTTCCTTTCTCTCTGTTTCAATTCTTTCTCTCTCTGTCTCAACTCTTCCTCTCTCTGTCCTCAACTCTTCTTCTCTCTGTTTCAACTCTTCCTCTCTCTGTCTCAACACTTCCTCTATCTGTCTCAACTCTTCCTCAATCTGTCTCAACTCTTCCTCTCTCTCTCTCAACTCTTCTCTCTGTCTCAACTCTTCCTCTCTCTGTTCAAACTCTTCCTCTCTCTTTCGCATCTCTTCCTCTCTGTGTTTCAACTCTTCCTCTCTCTGTCTCAACTCTTCCTCTCTCTGTTTCAACTCTTTCTCTCTTTTTCCGCAACTCTTCCTCTCTGTGCTTCAACTCTTCTTCTGTCTGTCTCAACTCTTCCTCTCTCTGTCGCAACTCTTCCTCTGTCTGTCTCAATTCTTCCTCTCACTGTCTCAACTCTTCCTCTCTCTGTTTCAACTCTTCCTCTCTCTGTCTCAACTCTTCCTCTCTCTGTCTCAACTCTTCCTCTCTCTGTCTCAACTCTTCCTCTCTCTGTTTCAACTCTTCCTCTCTCTGTCTCAACTCTTCCTCTCTCTGTCTCAACTCTTCCTCTCTCTGTCTCAAATTTTCATCTCTCCGTTTCAACTCTTCCTCTCTCTGTCTCAACTTTTCATCTCTCTGTCTCAACTCTTCCTCTCTCTGTTTCAACTCTTCCTCTTTCTGTCTCAACTCTTCCTCTCCTGTCTCAACTTTCATCTCTCTGTTTCAACTATTCCTCTCTCTGTCTCAACTCTTCCTCTCTCTGTCGCAACTCTTCCTCTCTCTGTCTCAACTCTGCCTCTCTCTGTCTCAACTCTTTCTCTCTCTGTTTCAACTCTTCCTCTCTCTGCCGCAACTCTTCCTCTCTCTCTGTTTTCAACTCTTCCTCTCTCTGTCGCAACTCTTCCCTCTCTGTCTCAACTCTTCCTCTCTCTGTCTCAACTCTTTTTCTCTCGGTTCCTACTCTTCCTCTCTCTGTCTCAACTCTTCCTCTCTCTGTCTCAACTCTTTTTCTCTCGGTTCCTACTCTTCCTCTCTCTGTCTCAACTCTTCCTCTCTCTGTCTCAACTTTTCATCTCTCTGTTTCAACTCTTCCTCTCTCTGTCTCAACTTTTCATCTCTGTCTCACAACTCTTCCTCTCTCTGTTTCAACTCTTCCTCTCTCTGTCTGAACTCTTCCTCTCTCTGTCTGAACTCTTCCTCTCTCTGTCTCAACTCTTCCTCTCTCTCTCTCTCTCTCTCAACTCTTTCTCTCTTTGTCTCAACTCTTCCTCTCTCTGTTTCAACTCTTCCTCTCTCTCTCTCAACTTTTCCTCTCTCTGTCTCAATTCTTCTCCTCTCTGTCTCAACTCTTCCTCTCTCTGTCTGAACTCTTCCTCTCTCTGTTTCAACTCTTTCTCTCTCTGTCTCAACTCTGCCTCTCTGTCTCAACTCTTCCTCTCTCTGTTTCAACTTTTCCTCTCTCTGTCTCAACTGTTCCTCTCTCTGTCTCAACTCTTTTTCTCTCTGTTCCAACTCTTCCTCTCTCTGCTTCAACTATTTTTCTCTCTGTTCCAACTCTTCCTCTCTCTGTCGCAACTCTTCCTCTCTCTGTCTCAACTCTTTCTCTCCCTGTCTCAACTCTTCCTCTCTGTCTCAACTCTTCCTCTCTCTGTCTCAACTCTTTCTCTCCCTGTCTCAACTCTTCCTCTCTGTCTCAACTCTTCCTCTCTCTGTCTCAACTCTTCCTCTCTCTGTCTCAACTCTTTTTCTCTCTGTTCCAACTCTTCCTCTCTCTGTCTCAACTCTTCCTCTCTCTGTTTCAACTCTTCCTCTCTCTGTCTCAACACTTTTTCTCTCTGTTCCAACTCTTCCTCTCTCTGTCTCAACTCTTTTTCTCTATGTTCCAACTCTTCCTCTCTCTGTCTCAACTCTTCCTCTCTCTGTCTCAACTCTTCCTCTCTCTGTCTCAACTCTTCCTCTCTCTGTTTCAACTCTTCCTCACTCTGTCTCAACTCTTCCTCTCTCTGTCTCAACTCTTCCTCTCTCCTGTTTCAACTCTTCCTCTCTCTGTCTCAACTCTTCCTTTCTCTGTCTCAACTCTTCCTCTCTCTGTTTCAACTCTTCCTCTCTCTGTTCCAACTCTTTCTATCTGTGTCTCAACTCTTCCTCTCTCTGTCTCATCTCTTCCTCTCTCTGTCTCAACTCTTCCTCTCTCTGTCGCAACTCTTCCTCTCTCTGTCTCATCTCTTCCTCTCTCTGTCTCATCTCTTCCTCTCTCTGTCTCAACTCTTCTTCTCTCTGTCGCAACTCTTCCTCTCTCTGTCTCAACTCTTCCTTTCTCTGTCTTAACTCTTCCTCTCTCTGTTTCACCTCTTCCTCTCTCTGTTTCAACTCTTCCTCTCTCTGTCTCAACTCTTCCTTTCTCTGTCTCAACTCTTCCTCTCTCTGTTTCAACTCTTCCTCTCTCTTTCCCACTCTTTCTATCTCTGTCTCAACTCTTCCTCTCTCTGTCTCAACTCTTCCTCTCTCTGTCGCAACTTTTTTTCTCTCTGTTTCATCTCTTCCTCTCTCTGTCTCAACTTTTCCTCTCTCTGTTTCAGCTCTTCCTCTCTCTGTCGCAACCTCTCCTCTCTCTGTTTCAACTCTTCCTCTCTCTGTCTCAACTCTTCCTTTCTCTCTGTTTCAACTCTTTCTCTCTCTGTCTCAACTCTTCCTCTCTCTGTCTCAACTCTTCTTCTCTCTCTTTCAACTCTTCCTCTCTCTGTGTCAACACTTCCTCTATCTGTCTCAACTCTTCCTCTCTCTGTCTCAACTCTTCTTCTCTCTGTGTCAACACTTCCTCTCTCTGTCTCAACTCTTCTTCTCTCTGTTTCAACTCTTCCTCTCTCTCTGTTTCATCTCTCCTCTCTCTGTCTCAACTTTTCCTCTCTCTGTTTCAACTCTTCCTCTCTCTGTCTCAACTCTTCCTTTCTCTCTGTTTCAACTCTTTCTCTCTCTGTCTCAACTCTTCCTCTCTCTGTCTCAACTCTTCTTCTCTCTGTTTCAACTCTTCCTCTCTCTGTCGTCAACACTTCCTCTATCTGTCTCAACTCTTCCTCTATCTGTCTCAACTCTTCCTCTCTTCTCTCTCAACTCTTCCTCTCTGTCTCAACTCTTCCTCTCTCTGTTCAAACTCTTCCTCTCTCTTTCGCATCTCTTCCTCTCTGTGTTTCAACTCTTCCTTTCTCTGTCTCAACTCTTCCTCTCTCTGTTTCAACTCTTTCTCTCTTTTCGCAACTCTTCCTCTCTGTGCTTCAACTCTTCTTCTGTGTGTCTCAACTCTTCCTCTCTGTGTCGCAACTCTTCCTCTCTCTGTCTCAATTCTTCCTCTCACTGTCTCAACTCTTCCTCTCTCTGTTTCAACTCTTCCTCTCTCTGTCTCAACTCTTCCTCTATCTGTCTCAACTCTTCCTCTCTCTGTCTCAACTCCTTCTTCTCTCTGTTTCAACACTTCCTCTCTCTGTCTCAACTTTCTTCTCTCTGTTTCAACTCTTCCTCTCTCTCTGTTTCATCTCTTCCTCTCTCTGTCTCAACTTTTCCTCTCTCTGTTTCAACTCTTCCTCTCTCTGTCCCAACTCTTGCTCTCTCTGTTTCAACTCTTCCTCTCTCTGTCTCAACTCTTCCTTTCTCTCTGTTTCAAACTCTTTCTCTCTCTGTCTCAACTCTTCATCTCTCTTTCTCAACTCTTCTTCTCTCTGTTTCAACTCTTCCTCTCTCTGTCTCAACACTTCCTCTATCTGTCTCAACTCTTCCTCTATCTGTCTCAACTCTTCCTCTCTCTCTCTCAACTCTTCCTCTCTGTCTCAACTCTTCCTCTCTCTGTTCAAACTCTTCCTCTCTCTTTCGCATCTCTTCCTCTCTGTGTTTCAACTCTTCCTCTCTCTGTCTCAACTCTTCCTCTCTCTGTTTCAACTCTTTCTCTCTTTTTCGCAACTCTTCCTCTCTGTGCTTCTACTCTTCTTCTGTCTGTCTCAACTCTTCCTCTCTCTGTCGCAACTCTTCCTCTGTCTGTCTCAATTCTTCCTCTCACTGTCTCAACTCTTCCTCTCTCTGTTTCAACTCTTCCTCTCTCTGTCTCAACTCTTCCTCTCTCTGTCTCAACTCTCCTCTCTCTGTCTCAACTCTTCCTCTCTCTGTTTCAACTCTTCCTCTCTCTGTCTCAACTCTTCCTCTCTCTGTCCCAACTCTTCCTCTCTCTGTCTCAAATTTTCATCTCTCCGTTTCAACTCTTCCTCTCTCTGTCTCAACTTTTCATCTCTCTGTCTCAACTCTTCCTCTCTCTGTTTCAACTCTTCCTCTTTCTGTCTCAACTCTTTCCTCTCTCTGTCTCAACTTTTCATCTCTCTGTTTCAACTCTTCCTCTCTCTGTCTCAACTCTTCCTCTCTCTGTCGCAACTCTTTCCTCTCTCTGTCTCAACTCTGCCTCTCTCTGTCTCAACTCTTTCTCTCTCTGTTTCAACTCTTCCTCTCTCTGCCGCAACTCTTCCTCTCTCTCCTGTTTCAACTCTTCCTCTCTCTGTCGCAACTCTTCCCCTCTCTGTCTCAACTCTTCCTCTCTCTGTCTCAACTCTTTTCTCTCGGTTCCTACTCTTCCTCTCTCTGTCTCAACTCTTCCTCTCTCTGTCTCAACTCTTTTTCTCTCGGTTCCTACTCTTCCTCTCTCTGTCTCAACTCTTCCTCTCTCTGTCTCAACTTTTCATCTCTCTGTTTCAACTCTTCCTCTCTCTGTCTCAACTTTCATCTCTGTCCTCAACTCTTCCTCTCTCTGTTTCAACTCTTCCTCTCTCTGTCTGAACTCTTCCTCTCTCTGTCTGAACTCTTCCTCTCTCTGTCTCAACTCTCTCCTCTCTCTCTCTCTCTCTCAACTCTTCCTCTCTTTGTCTCAACTCTTCCTCTCTCTGTTTCAACTCTTCCTCTCTCTCTCTCAACTTTTCCTCTCTCTGTCTCAATTCTTCCTCTCTCTGTCTCAACTCTTCCTCTCTCTGTCTGAACTCTTCCCTCTCTCTGTTTCAACTCTTTCTCTCTCTGTCTCAACTCTGCCTCTCTGTCTCAACTCTTCCTCTCTCTGTTTCAACTTTTCCTCTCTCTGTCTCAACTGTTCCTCTCTCTGTCTCAACTCTTTTTTCTCTCAGTTTCCAACTCTTCCTCTCTCTGCTTCAACTATTTTTCTCCTCTGTTCCAACTCTTCCTCTCTCTGTCGCAACTCTTCCTCTCTCTGTCTCAACTCTTTCTCTCCCTGTCTCAACTCTTCCTCTCTGTCTCAACTCTTCCTCTCTCTGTCTCAACTCTTCCTCTCTCTGTCTCAACTCTTTCTCTCCCTGTCTCAACTCTTCCTCTCTGTCTCAACTCTTCCTCTCTCTGTCTCACAACTCTTCCTCTCTCTGTCTCAACTCTTTTTCTCTCTGTTCCAACTCTTCCTCTCTCTGTCTCAACTCTTCCTCTCTCTGTTTCAACTCTTCCTCTCTCTGTCTCAACACTTTTTTCTCTCTGTTCCAACTCTTCCTCTCTCTGTCTCAACTCTTTTTCTCTATGTTCCAACTCTTCCTCTCTCTGTCTCACTCTTCCTCTCTCTGTCTCAACTCTTCCTCTCTCTGTCTCAACTTTTCATCTCTCTGTTTCAACTCTTCCTCTCTCTGTCTCAACTTTTTCTCTCTCTGTTTCAACTCTTCCTCTCTGTGTCGCAACTCTTCCTCTCTCTCTGGTTCAACTCTTCCTCCTTCTGTCTCAAATCTTCCTCTCTCTCTTTCAACTCTTCCTCTCTCTTTCTCAACTCTTCCTCCCTCTGTCTCAACTCTTACTTTATTTGTCTCAACTCTTCCTCTCTCTCTCTCTCAACTCTTCTCCTCTGTCTCAACTCTTCCTCTCTCTGGTTCAACATTCCTCTCTCTTTCCGCAACTCTTCCTCTCTGTGTTTCAACTCTTCCTCTCTCTCTCTCAACTCTTCGTCTCCTTTCTGTTTCAACTCTTTCTCTCTCTTTCGCTACTCTTCCTCTCTGTGTTTCAACTCTTCTTTTCTCTGTCTCAACTCTTCCTCTCTCTGTCGCAACTCTTCCTCTCTCTGTCGCAACTCTTCCTCTTTCTGTCTCGACTCTTCCTTTCTCTGTTTCAACTCTTCCTCTCTCTTTTCTCAATTCTTCCTCTCACTGTTCTCAACTCTCCTCTCTCTGTTTCATCTCTTCCTCCTCTTGTCTCAACTCTTCCTCTCTCTTTTCATCTCTTCCTCTCTCTGTCTCAACTCTTCCTCTCACTGTCTCAACTCTTCCTCTCTCTGTTTCAACTCTTCCTCTCTCTGTCTCAACTCTTCCTCTCTCTTTTTCATCTCTTCCTCTCTCTGTCTTAACTCTTCCTCTCTCTGTCTCAGTTCTTCCTCTCACTGTCTCAACTCTTCCTCTCTCTGTTTCAACTCTTCCTCTCTCTGTCTCAACTCTTCCTCTCTCTCTTTCAACTCTTCCTCTCTCTGTCTCAACTCTTCCTTTCTCTGTCTCAACTCTTACTTTCTCTTTTTCAACTCTTCCTCTCTCTGTCTCAACTCTTCCTCTCTCTTTTTCAACTCTTCCTCTCTCTGTCTCAACTCTTCCTCTCTCTGTTTCAACTCTTCCTCTGTCTGTCTCAACTCTTCCTCTCTCTCTCTCAACTTTTCCTCTCTGTCTCAACTCTTCCTCTCTCTGTTTGATCTCTTACTCTCTCTTTCGCTACTCTTCCTCTCTGTGTTTCAACTCTTCCTCTCTCTGTATCATCTCTTCCTCTCTCTGTTTCAACTCTTTCTCTCTCTTTCGCAACTCTTCCTCTCTGTGCTTCAACTCTTCTTTTCTCTCTCTCAACTCTTCCTCTGTCTGTCTCAACTCTTCCTCTCTCTGTCTCAACTCTTCCTCTCTCTGTCGCAACTCTTCCTCTCTCTGTCGCAACTCTTCCTCTCTCTGTCGCAACTCTTCCTCTCTCTGTCGCAACTCACGTGAAAGCTAACTTGTGAAGCATGTAGTTCTCTGTAATGATTAATAAATATAAATATTCATTATAGTATATAAAAATATTGATGCACGAGTGTGCATATCCATATAATATCTATAAGTACGGTTATGTGACTGCATGTGTGACTGTATGTGTGTTTGTATTCATGTATGTATGTAAGTGTGTTTATGTAGAGAAGAATTCATATAACACTTGTATTTATGTCTTTAAGTATTGTAGTTTCATACATGTATCCATGCATGTATGTGTGTATGTACGTATGTATGTATGTATGTATGTATGTACTGTATATATGCATGTACGTGTGTACATAGCTGGAGGATGGACACGCAGGCACACTGGTGGGGCAGGTCACTCACAGTAAATATATTGCTTCAGCCAGACTAACATGGCTCGTTTTTCATCGTCCGGCCGTGAAATGATGGTGCGGGGCCGTGAAATTAGCTCTCCACGGCACCGTGTGCACACGTACGCTGATGGTGACGTGTATGTTAGCTCCCCATGTTGCGCGCACGCACGCACGAACACGCACACACACACACACACACACACACACACACACACACACACACACACACACACAAGCTTTGATGCTAACATTTACATTAAAGATACATCCTTCGTTCCTAGTCTCAAAGAAGTTGAAAAACACCCACGACAAACCTTCCTTCAACAAAGCCACTCTCTCTCCTACGAACACTGTACCGCCAGCAAATTTTTCTCTCCCACAAAAAACACACAACCAGATGGGGGTGGAATGGCGATCATAGCTGCCTTCCAAGCAGTTATCCCGAGTTCGTTTCCGGTCTTCGGGCAAATTATTGAATACGTAACATCACAGCAAAGTTCTCCTGCTGTAGCTGCAACACAGTCATTCAGAATAGGTAAATAAACTTTCTCTCCTTTTTCTCACTCCAATTCTCTCTCATTCTTAATTTTCATTTATCTACAAATCCTTTTTCTTCAACCATAATTTTTAGAGGGGGTGGACCGGTAAGCCAGAGAAAGGCCTCGGTCAGATGACCAAAAGCTCCAGCGGCGGGTCGTCAATATGACTAAGACTCGCGTCAAGAAATACTTGTCCTGTTTCCTGGCAAACCTTACCTAACCTTCTCCTGCAATTTCGAAATCAATTTTCTTGCTAAGTTGGCTGTGTCATTATAAAATTCTTTTTACTATCGTATCTGGTGACTAACCTTCACTCATAACTACTCCCTGACCTGTTATAATAACTTCACTCATAACTACACCCTGACCTGTTATAATAACCTTACTCATAACTACACCCTGACCTGTTATACTAACCTTCACTCATAACTACACCCTGACCTGTTATAATAACTTTCACTCATAACTACACCCTGACCTATTATACTAACCTTCACTCATAACTACACCCTGGCCTGTTATACTAACCTTCACTCATAACTACACCCTGACCTGTTAAACTAACCTTCACTCATAACTACACCCTGACCTGTTATAATAACCTTCACTCATAACTACACCCTGACCTGTTATACTAACCTTCACTCATAACTACACCATGACCTGCTATAATAACCTTCACTCATAACTACACCCTGACCTGCTATAATAACCTTCACTCATAACTACATCCTGACCTGTTATACTAAACTTCACTCATAACTACAACCCTGACCTGCTGTAATAACCTTTACTCCATAACTTACTATAAAACCCTGACCTGTTATACTAACCTTCACTCATAACTACACCCTGACCTGTTATAATAACCTTCACTCATAACTACACCCTGACCTGTTATACTAACCTTCACTCATAACTACACCCTGACCTGTTATACTAACCTTCACTCATAACTACATCCTGACCTGCTATAATAACCTTCACTCATAACTACACCCTGACCTGTTATACTAACCTTCACTCATAACTGCACCCTGACCTGCTGTAATAACCTTCACTCATAACTACACCCTGCCCTCTTATACTAACCTTCACTCATAACTACACCCTGACCTGTTATAATAACCTTCACTCATAACTGCACCCTGACCTGTTATACTAACCTTCACTCATAACTACACCCTGACCTGCTATAATAACCTTCATTCATAACTACACCCTGACCTGTTATACTAACCTTCACTCATAACTACACCCTGACCTGCTATAATAACCTTCACTCATAACTACACCCTGACCTGTTATACTAACTTTCACTCATAAGTACTCCCTGACCTGTTATAATAATCTTCACTCACAACTACACCCTGACCTGTTATAATAACCTTCACTCATAACTACACCCTGACCTGTTATAACCTTCACTCATAACTACACCCTGACCTGTTATAATAACCTTCACTCATAACTACACCCTGACCTGTTATAACCTTCACTCATAACTGCACCCTGGCCTGTTATATTAACCTCCACTCATAACTACACCCTGACCTGTTATAATAACCTTCACTCATAACTACTCCCTGACCTGTTATACTAACCTTCACTCATAACTACACCCTGACCTGTTATACTAACCTTCACTCATAACTACACCCTGACCTGTTATACTAACCTTCACTCATAACTACTCCCTGACCTGTTATACTAACCTTCACTCATAACTACACCCTGACCTGTTATTCAAACCTTCACTCATAACTACACCCTAACCTGGAATGCTAACTTTCACTCATAACTACACCCTGACCTGTTATACTAACCTTAACTCATAACTACACCCTGACCTGTTATACTAACCTTCACTCATAACTACACCCTGACCTGTTATGCTAACTTTCACTCATAACTACACCCTGACCTGTTATACTAACCTTCACTCATAACTACTCCCTGACCTGTTACACTAACCTTCACTAATAACTATACCCTGACCTTCACTCATAACTACACCCTGATCTGTTATACTAACATTCACTCATAACTATACCCTGACCTTCACTCATAACTACACTTTGACCTGTTATACTAACCTTCACTGATAACTACACCCTGACCTGTTATAATAACCTTCACTCATAACTACACCCTGACCTGTTATAATAACCTTCACTCATAACTATACCCTGACCTGTTATACTAACCTTCACTCATAACTATACCCTGACCTTCACTCATAACTACACCTTGACCTGTTATACTAATCTTCACTCATAACTACACCCTGACCTGTTATACTAACCTTCACTCATAACTACCCCCTGACCTTTTATAATAACCTTCACTCATAACTACACCCTGACCTGCATACTAACCTTCAACTCATAACTACTCCCTGACCTGTTATATAACCTTCACTCATAACTACACCTGACCTTTTATACTAACCTTCACTCATAACTATACCCTGACCTTCACTCTTTAAATACACCTTGACCTGTTATACAAATCTTCATCATAACTACACCTGACCTGTTATACTAATTCATCATAACTATACCCTGACCTTCACTCATAACTACACCCTGACCTGTTATACTAACCTTCACTCATAACTACACCCTGACCTGTTATACTAACCTTCACTCATAACTATACCTTGACCTGTTATACTAACCTTCACTGATAACTACACCCTGACCTGTTATAATAACCTTCACTCACACTACACCCTGACCTGTTATAATAACCTTCACTCACACTACACCCTGACCTGTTATAATAACCTTCACTCACACTACACCCTGACCTGCTATACTTACCTTCACCCGTAACCACACCCTGACCTGTGTGTTATGATAAGAGTGACCAATAACAACCTAACATGTCAGGGTGTGGTTATAACCACACCCTGACATGAATGTGGTTATAACCACACCCTGACATGAATGTGGTTATAACCACACCCTGACATGAATGTGGTTATAACCACACCCTGACATGAATGTGGTTATAACCACACCCTGACATGTTGATCATGATAAGAAATTCATTAACCCCACCCTGACTTACCAGTTATAATAACAGTGACCAAAAACAGTCTCCCGTCCAGGCGGTGGTTATGTCCGTGTCCGATAACTACAAACTAAATTCCTCTCTCTCACACATTCCTGTGTCTGGCACAACTTTTCCTTCTCCCACTCTCTCTCTCTCTCTCTCTCTCTCTCTCTCTCTCTCTCTCTCTCTCTCTCTCTCTCATATACACACAAACATTTTTAACTTTCAAAAAAACACACTACACGATGTGAATCAGTTTTTTAACATTAGGGGATATAAACTATTGGAATAACTCCGAAATACACAAGTAAAAGACATCTCAAAATTTTTCGGTCAGACTAGGGAACCTTTTCCTGAAAATTATGAAAGTTGGCATTTTATTGAGAGTGAAGGCCTTTGTATCGCACTAAATCCCTCTTCTGTTTTTACTCTTTTTTCATAAAGGATTTCAGGTAAACCGCAAATATTTTTTTTTTTTTGTGACTCTCCACAATATGGCTTATCCCAGTGATTATTAAATAGGCGGTAAAAAGAAGTTTGTCTTCGCATAAATTAAGTTTCGTCGAATTTGATTTCAAAATCTGATATTTTCTTCAGGAGAGAATTTATAAAATTTGGAAACTAAATGGGGGACGCAGAGTAGTAGAGGAAAAAAAAAGGAGACTAGTTCCAGTGGGTTCCGTCAATGGGGAACCCATTGGAACGGAACTTTTTTATTTCAAGCATCTAAAAAAAGCCCATCTCTTGGTGACACGTTGTACCAATAAATCCACTACTGCTATTGTCTGGCTTCACTACTTGTCTGCGTCCAACCTTCAGTTTCCAAATTTTATATATTCTCTCCTAAACAAAAATTAAATTTTAGAATAAAAAAAGAAACTAGGAAGATAAACTTGCTGAGATCCTACTGTGCTGGGATATATTTAGCGCCTAGAACATCAGTCATATATAATGACTATTAATGTTCTCCTCTGGTGGCGCTCTGAATAGGGAAAAATGGCAGCTGTTTCTGGGACTAATTAGTAAACAGTGATGGAGGTCGCAGAGGTATTGTTGGAACAGCAACAACAGCAACAGCAGCAGTAGCAACAACAGCAACAACAGCAGCAGTAATAGTAGCAGTAATGGGTGTGTTATTGAATGATATAAGTATTAGAGATGATGAACAAGCAGTAATACCACCACCAAGATAGGTACATGGTCAGTCTGTCCTACATAAACTCCATGACAGTTTATACTCTACCCGGAGCTTCTCAATACCTTGTAAGATGGAGAGAGATGGAGAGATCCTTCTGGTTTTTTTTTTTTTTACCGGATTTCATCTGCTCAGAAAAGATTTATAGCTTTTCCAGAGATTGTAATTATAGATTCGCTGTAAATAACTTTGCTAGAGAGAGAATGGCTTTCTGTCAGCTGTTTTTCCCATGTATTTCCTTCTTTTTATCTGCTTCAGAGAGAGAGAGAGAGAGAGAGAGAGGAGAGAGAGAGAGAGAGAGAGAGTGACAGAGACAGACAGACAGACACAAGGGAGAAAATAGTTTATATGGAAAATATATTCATGATGACAGGTGCGTCACCCATTATTCTCGATGAACCGCTTACACCCAATCCTTCCCTTTCCCTGGCCCGTTTACCCTATCTACACCTGTTACACTTGCATTTCAGGACCCTTGTATCTCCATTTCTTCTCCTACCCTCCCTTCCTCTCTACTACACCCTTTCACTTCCTCATTCCTATTCTATCTCCCAATCCTCCTCTCCCCAGTACCAATTTGACACAGAATACCTTTATTCTTCCCCTCTATCCCATACCATCTCGTCTATCCCTTCTCCCCACTATCCCTCCCCTCCCATGCCTAACCCTCTTCCTATCCTCCCATGGGTGACATAGTGGCACCGCCAGACTGGCCGCCTCTACACCGTTACGTCCGCTATATCAAGTTTTACGCCGAATAAGCATATTGGGAGTCGGGTTTATGGGGATTTTATGCCCACCAGCGCTGTCTTGATTGTCCCCCATCCCTCCTACCTCCCTTCCAAACTTCCTTACTGGTATATCCGTTATACTGACACGGGTATATCCAAAATGATGGCGGTTATAACCGATTTACTGACGAGTATATCGGCTGCATTGACGGATACAAGAGCTATATTGTCGGGTATATTGGAAATGTTCAT